AAGGCCCCTACTAGACCCTAAACCCTTATAGTAGCCCTTATAGAACCCTTACAAGGAACCCTTAAAAGGAACCCTAAACCTTAAAAAAAAAAGACACTATACCCTAAACCCTTATAGTAGCCCTTATAGAACCCCCTAAACCCTAAACCCTAAACCCTAAACCCTAAACCCTACACCCTACACCCTAAACCCTAAACCCTAAACCCTAAACCCTAAAAAGGAACCCTTAAAAGGAACCCTAGGGCTCCTCCTTGCAATCCGAGGCATCCTCGGTGTCCCAATGGTCCAAGGAAACCTCACCGTCGCCGGAGCTAGGCGAAAGGGTTTAGGGTTTAGGGTTTAGGGTTTAGGGTTTAGGGTTTAGGGTTTAGGGTTTAGGGTTCCTTTTAAGGGTTCCGTTGAAGGCTTCTAAGGGCTACTATAAGGGTTCAGGGTATAGTTTTTGCTTTTGAGGTTTAGGGGCTTAGGGTTTAGGGGCTTTAGGGGTTTAAGGGTTTAGGGGCTTAGGGGTTGTAGGGTTGAAGGATCAGGGTTTAAGGGTTCAGGGTTGAGGGTTTAAACTTGGAGGATCATGGGACTTAGTCTGTAAGGTCACAACTACCTTAATTGGGGTTATACTTACTGATAAGTATAGTTCCCTTATTTATAACCCTAGTTACCAAGTCCCATGATCCTCTAAGTAAGGCTTAAGTTTGCCTTCTTACCGCTCCTTTAAGGTTTAGGTGTTTGGGTGTTTAGGGTGTTCAGGCGGGCCTTGTCGGAGCTACGGCTTAAGTTTGCCTTTCACCGCTCCTTTTGGGTTTCGGGTTTTGGGTGTTTTGGGTGTTTAGGAGTTTAGGGTTTTTTAGGGTATGGGATTTAGGGTTTAGGGCTTGGGGTTTGGAGGGTTTGGGGGTTGAGGACAGAAAGTTTCAGGGTGCAGGTTTAAGGTTTTGGGGTTGCCAGCACCTCCCAAGTACCCTTTGCTAGAGCCCTTATGGTCCTTAATAATGGGTATTTGGGGGCATAATAGAGGGTAGTTGCGGGGTGC